TGCTTAAAGCAGAGTGGAAGCAGGAATGTGTATATGTTTTCGCATATAACAGTGGACAAGCCCTGTATTCAATTACTGCTGGCTTTGCCAAAAAGCTGACTTCACTCTCCAGGCCTCTGGACTGCTGTGTGACTAACGCGTACTCGGCCTCGGGGGATCCCTTTCACATCTGTGTGGGAAAATACTTGCTCATGAGTTTTGCTTGATTGCTTTATTTCTGTGGAACTTTACACTGGTGACTTTGTCCTCTGCTTACTGAAGCGGGCAAACCTCAGCACCACCTGGGGGCTGTTAACATGGGGATTTCTGCACAGCCTCACAGTTTTCACATTAAAAATCCCTCGGACTCCAAAGGGAGAGACTGCTTTTTACATTGACAGTGAGAATCGGGGTCTGTAGATTGGTCCAGGTCTCAAGTTGCTTTTGAAGCGTGTTTGTGAAGTGAAGTTTATTGTGTAGACCAAGCACAGTTGTAACATCTTAAATAAAGCATCTCTGCTTTATTACAAGCCGCTCTATTCGTTCTGCGTATGAAAGTCATCTTCTTGAAGCTGAATATGTTTAAGCTGAGCACATTTCTCCTGGCAAAAGTCTACTTTAGGGGACATTTTTGCCAGACCACCTAGTGGGCCAGCCTAGAAGAGGCAGTTTCGCTCACTGAGCGTGTTTGCATGCACTTAATAATCCGATAACGGCAGAAAATCTGATTTTGTCAGTAATCCGATCAACATGTTTACATGCACTTAATCAGATAGTGGGGAAACCTCAGGTTTACATGAGTCAGACAGTAATCAGAGTTCAACCAGCCAATAAACTCGCAGAAGAAGACGTGACGTAAACGGAACGTAAAACTCAAACTTTATGCCGTATTTTTTTTTGTTTGAACATCATCAAGTCTCTAATAGACTTGACGATGCGGTTCCTGTCACTGTATGATTCGCTGTTATCTATAAACATGGATTAATGTACAGAGCAGAACTCAGGCTGGCTGTTTTACATAAGCACCATTTTAGCTAACGACTGGCCGCTTTACACTACAGTGTTAAACACAAAACTGTAAGCTCTATATTGCTGGAATTGATCAGGATGGAATGATGACCTTGGCCTGAAGTGTTGCTGTTTGTGTTCCTCACCAGCACTGAGCCTTAGCGGCTAAAAAAAAAGAAAATGAGAAGCAGACACAGGCAGCTGTTAGCTCTTAAGAGTTTCTGTACAACTGAAAAGGCCCCGCGCTGCCAAAGAAACGTCTGATCGTGTTTGTGCATGCACGCAAACGCACACACACACACCCCCCGAAATGAAAAAGGGTCTGCCGAGGTTCACGACTGCACATGGAATATAGATTAAACGCTCAGAACACTCTTGTGTAATGGACTGAAAGAGGACGTCTAGCTCTTTTTAAGTGCAGTAGCTTCAGCCAGCAAATCTGCTTTCAATCATGTCTATTAAACACAGCTTACTGACACATCGTTCTTCTTCTGCGAACACACATACAGGGAACTATGTGTCCTCAGAGGACCTGTCATAAAGCTCAACAGGCTTGTGATAGCTTGAGTGTTTTCCATGGATGAGTACCAACAAAAAAAGTACTCCCTCTCACCAGCGGCGCAGGCAGAGCCAGTTTAAGGGGAGCCTGGCCGCTTCTCGTTTCTCAAAACACTAGATGGCGCCCCCGAGCGAGTCCTCAGTGAATGGGGGGTGAATGGAGCTAAACGGCCAAAAACAAAAAAGTAAACATTTTTCTAGACCCTCTTGTGGAAACGTCCTTTTTTTGGAAAGTCGAAGGATGAATTACATTATAAAATCAAATAAAACTTACCAGCATCTTTGTGTTTTTCTAAGTAAACAGGTTTGGGCAGTAAGGACTCTAATATTAGTACTACTGAGTGCTGATTGGTGAGCATCACTGCTACTGAGTGCTGATTGGCATGACTACTACTAAGCACTGATTGATTAGCATTACTACTACTGAGTGCTGATTAGTTGGCATTACTGCTACTAAGTACTGATTGGTTAGCATTGCTACTACTGAGTGCTGACTGGCATTACTGCTACTAAGTACTGATTGGTTAGCATTGCTACTAAGTACTGATTGGTTAGCATTGCTACTACTGAGTGCTGATTGATTGCCATCACTACTGCTAAGTACTGATTGGTTAGCATTGCTACTACTGAGTGCTGATTGATTGCCATTACTACTGCTAAGTACTGATTGGTTAGCATTGCTACTACCGAGTGCTGATTGATTGTCATTACTACTGCTAAGTACTGATAGGTTAGCATTGCTACTACTGAATGCTGATTGATTGGCATTACTACTACTAAGTACTGATAGATTAGCATTTCTACTAAGTACTGATTGGTTAACATTACTGCTACTAAGTGTTGATTGATTGGCATTACTACTGCTAAGTACTGATAGGTTAGCATTGCTATTACTGAGTGCTGATTGATTGCCATTACTACTGCTAAGTACTGATTGGTTAGAATTGCTACTAAGTAATGACTGGTTTGCATTACTGCAACTGCATTGTTTTGTGCTAGTTCAGCTCTCCAAAGAAGCAACAAACAACATCAATATCTTGAACCATCGGCCCCAGACTGTGCGTCTGTTGCTGTAAAAGGTAGGACTTTGGTTAATAAGCTTTAGCTGCTATGGTGCGCAGTGAGTTCTTATAGTAATTAAAGCCAGTGATGTAAACAAATGTGTGGTGTGTTTAATATTATTAATGTAAATTTTTTCTCATATGGTAATTATATGGGTAATTTGCTAACAATAGCTATAATGAGTTTGACTAGTTGGTGGTCATCATCCTCATCACTGTAGCAATGATCTCTGCGCCTTAATTCTTGCTAGCTGGCCCCTAAAGTGGCTATGCTACCCCGTCATACACACACTCAAGTAGCCATTGCGAGAATGCGAGCATGATTATCAACAAAATTCATGAAATACCAACATAAACAACAGCAACACAGTCTAACCCATATGGAAACATATTTAAAATACATTTCATTTACATTGCAATCCATGTCAAAACATATTCCAAACACTGGAATACCTTTTAAAATGAATTAATTTCCAGTATCTCCATTTTAAATATGATCAAATGAACCTTCAACATGATAAAAGCGAGTGTTGTGGGTATTGATACTCTGTAAAAATGCAGTTATGATTTGATATCTTGTTTATGTGAAATACATTGTGTGTGAGAGTCTGACTGCAGACGTGCCTGGTTAATGTAAAGTACAGTGCAGATCACAGAAGTCATTACTGGTCATCCAGTTTATGTATATTTAGTTATATCTGTAAAAATTATAATAACTAATATAAAATATATTTAACACATACATTTTTGGCCCATTTTCATCCATTCTAAAAATATTTCTGCTAAACACATTTGAAAATCTCCAGGGTATATTTTAGCATGTCTATCTGAATTTACGTGACCAAATCGTAAGGCAAATTATTCAGTAACTGCATGAAAAAAATGTACAGTTTTTATTTTATTTATTAATTTTTTTTGTAAAAGCTCCCCTCAGATTAACAGAACATGTGTTTTATGATCATAAACATATTGCTTTATGCTTACAATTTACTGCTGAAAGCCAAAAATCTTAGATGCTCTCTGTATTATTTTATAAAAATAATGTTTACAGAGCAGATCACTGAAGAGACGCCGTCTGTTTATAGTTTATAGCCCAGATTTGTGAAAAATGGGTCGACTTTCAGTAGAAAAAAAAATTGTGAGTTCAGCTTCTTTTATTATAAGGGTTTAAAATTACATCACCCATCTATTTGACTGGAGAGAAGACAGTTACAGCTCTCATACGACCCCCACATTTAGAATGTAGCTTATGGAATATGAAAGTTATGAAGAATATGAGGAAGTGCAGTTTGGAACCACCGGTGGTCTCAAGGAGTTGAAGAGGTTAAAATGCATTTTAAAACATACTCAACAAGTGCATTTTTGGCCGTTTTCATCCACTGCAAAAATATATTTAATAAATACATTTGGGTTTTTTTCATATGGGAAGGTCAAGCCTGCGTTTGTCTGTGTCTGAAAAGTCGACCATAAGGAATTGATGAATAGCGCCGTCTTTTTTCCTTCTCATCTGGAGATCTACCAAAAACATCAGCATCACAGACCACAATGACGGTCCCAGATCCAGCTGGCCTCTCTCTCCTCAAGCCCAGCCTTTTCTGCTCCCACCACCTTCTTCACTTTCAGACCTTTTAAGCCTTTAAACTGTGAAATTGAACAGGACTTCACTCACATTTGATTAAAGAACACAGTTTATTTTGTGAAAATGACGCCTTCCTACAGTACATAAGGGTTAACAGCTACATGATCAGTCTTAGGTATCAATACGATTACGATAATAATGATCAGAATATATACAGAGTTATAAACAAGTGTCCTCAAACAGTTTCACCGTAGAATATTGCATTCCTTCTGTTCTGAATGACACGACACTCAGCCAATCACTGTTTAGCAACTGTCTCAAAGCACTACGTCCTCCGTCCACCAAGGGAAAAACTCTGGTTATGATTTTTAGAGTATTAGACTAAAATGATTAAGATCAAATATTGTAGGGGTCACCCAGTCCACACAGACATTATCCTGATTTGGAGGGTGCTGCTGTTTAGATTAACAGAACCTGGGATAACGTCTCCAATAGAATTCTGTGTTTAATAGTGTCCACTGTCATATAGAGTCCTCTGTCCAACAGCATCTAGTGTCCAACAGCAACCCGCGCCCAATAGCATCTTTTGATTGATAGTGCCCTGTGTCAATAGTGTCCCATGTTTAATAGTGCCATGTCCAATAGTCTCCCATGTTCTGTAACGTCCTGTGTCCAATAGCATTTTGTGCCCGATGGCATCTTTTGTCCAAAAGTGTCCTGTGTCCAACAGTGTCTAGTGTCCAACAGCAACCCGTGCCCAATAGCATCTTGTGATTGATAGTGTCCTGTGTCTAATAGTGTCCCATGTTTAATAGTGCCCTGTGTCCAATAGTGTCCCATGTTTAATAGAGCCATGTGTCCAATAGTGTCCCATGTTTAATAGTGCCCTGTGTCCAATAGTGTCCCATGTTTAATAGAGCCATGTCCAATAGTCTCCCATGTTCTGTAACATCCTGTGTCCAATAGCATTTTGTGCCCGATGGCATCTTTTGTCCAACAGTGTCCTGTGTCCAATAGCATTTTGTGCCCGATGGCATCTTTTGTCCAACAGTGTCCTGTGTCCAATAGCGTGCTGTGTCTAATAGTGCCCTGTGTCCACTAGCATCCCGTGATTCATAGTGTCCTGTGTCCAATAGCATCCTGTGTCTAATAGTGCCCCGTGTCCAATAGCATCCTGTGATTGTGTCCTGTATCCAATAGCGTCTTGTGTTGAATAGTGCCCTGTGTCCGATGTGTCCCGTGTTCTATAACATCCTGTGTCCAATAGCATTTTGTGCTCAATGGCATCTTTTGTCCAATAGCGTCCCGTGTTTAATAGTGCTCTGTCTCCAATAGCATCCTGTGATTGATAGTGTCCTGTGTCCAATAGCGCCCCGTGTTTAATAGTGTCCTGTGTCCAATAGCATCCTGTAATTGATAGTGTCCTGTGTCCAATAGCGTCCCGTGTTCTATAATGTCCTACGTCCAAAAGCGTTTTGTGCCCGATGACATCTTATGCCCAACAGTGTCCTGTGTCCAATAGCGTCCCATGATTAATAGCATCCTGTATTTAATAGCAACCTGGGTCCAACAATGTTCTGTGTCCAATAGCGTCCTGTGTTTAAGAGTGTCCAACAGTATCCTGTGTACAATAGAGTCCTGAGTTCTATAGTGTCCCATGTCCAATATTGTCCTGTGTTTAATATCTTTCTGTGTTCAATAGTGTCCCATATGCAAGAACATCTTTTGTCCAACATGTCCTGTATCCAATATCATCCTATGTCTAATCCAATTCTGTATGTCTCATCAGCTTTTCCTCCATGATGGTGGATACATGGTCGTCCTTGAATAGTCGTTGTTCATTAGTACGAATTGTTCCTGAGGCTTGTTGGAGGCACAAGTTGAAATAATTTCGGCTATTTCTCCATCTCCCTGTATAATAAATTTACAGTTGTACTTTGGAGCATCAGGCATGGTGAGATACTTATTAATGAGATGGTCAAGCCCTGCGTTCAACACTTTACAGCCCGCCTTCTCTTTCTCCATCCAGCATTTCCTTTCAAGCAATCCTTCAACATTTATGGGAGCGAGTTTAAACTGGCACTTTGTTTTGATTGTCACCATCTTCTCTGGTGTGTTCCTAACGGTGTAGGTGATCGAAAACCTGTTGCATGCGATTTTTAGCGCTTCTAAGTTTTTTGCATTAGCTGCCTCTTTAGCTTGAACGAAGCAGGACTTGATCTCGTTTTGGCAGGAGTGCATGCTGAAGTGGATGCTCTTGACGTCCGACTCGCTGACGTCATCCTCGCAGTAGATGCAGCCGTCGAGGCGGCCCTGATTATTCTCTGACGTTACGGTGTAGATGATGTCCTCAGCTTCGCCGATTCGGACACACTGCCATTCTCCTTTGACCAGAAGACTCGTAGCTTTGCTGAGAGGATGGTGCCTGAAGATGCTCTCAGCAAAATCCAGGTTGGAGAGGAGAACGCTGTCCTTACAGCCCTTCCCTTTCAGCTCACACTTCACGGACAGAATGCCCTCCGTGTCAGGGTCAACTTCAAACGTTCTAGGAAAACAAAGTTGTGATAAATTAGTTGCACAAGTCATGAATTTTTATATCAGATTCTGACTTCTTTCACTCCATCAGTCCATTCAGTCTATTTTTTTGGATGATTTTATTGGCCAAAGTGGCTCTTCAGACTGCTAGACGAGAGCTCTAAAGCCACATCCATGCGCTGTACATGTTAATTTGTTTTTATAATTATAGCAGAGGTGCTCCTGAATTCAACTTTATATGCCTTTGTGAAACCCTAATTAGCTTTTCATAATTTTACAACTTTTAATATTTAAAATTGTTTATTTATCAGTTATCTCCTCTGAAGTGTTGTCAGCAAAGTGTAAACAAAATGTTCAGTTTTTGATTTTGGCTTTTGATCTGATGTGTCCGGCATTCCAGTTTCGATTTTGGTCAAGTCACATAAAATAAACAATAACTACTAGATGTCTTTATTAAACTTGATTTCCATAATGACACATTACATAGAAATGTGCTGTCTGGTGAGTGAATAAATTATGGATTTTAAGGGATTTTATTTATAGAACAACGGCACCAACTTGTATGAAAATTAGGATTTAATATTTAATGAGGTGAAAATGAGATGCAGAGATGCACCATAAGCAACATACAGGAAAAGAACAGAAATGAATACTTACAGTGAGGACATGATGTAAACAGGTCTCCTAAAACAAATATCAGTCCTGATGAACCTGTTCAAAATACATTGGCTGTAGATGTAAGATCTGAAAGAAATGTGTTTGATTTTCATGTAATGCTACATAAAGCCATAAAACCATATCATAGTACTACAACTGAGGCACTCCCACAAACAGATTCATAAAGAATGTGTAAGAAAGTCCCTTGCTCTCAATGTCACAAACATCTCCTTTATGATAGTGCTTCTTTATAGAGCTATCCACTGAAAGGTTCTTTAGAGAACCAAAAGTGGTTCTTCTATGGATTTACTACAATGAAGACATTCTTTTTAAGAGTGTTGGTACTGATGGACTGAGTGTTGGATAAACTTACCAGTGCTGTAGATTTCCTTCACTCCAACAACGAGTTGCTTTCCTGACTGAAACACCTGTAAATATTCCCAAACCTTCCACATCAGCTTGATGAGTTCAGTTTCATTTCCTGAGTGAACGCTTACTTTCATTTTACCATGAAACACAGCCCCCTCAGCACCTCCCTGCTTTCTTAAAGGCACATGCGCAAAATGACACAGTACAGTGAATGTAGCAGAGAGGAAAATCACAGAAACCTTTACACTCGTACACTTTATTATAAATACCAACCCTGTACTTCCTGTCATTGGCCACTTTATTAGAAACGCCCACCTTGTGCTTCACTACCGCACTTATTGAAACCCCACCTGTGCTCCGCTTTATTAGAAACACCCACCTTGTGCTTACACTCGCTGGCCATTTTATTAGAAACACCCGCCTTGTGCTTACACTCGCTAGCCACTTTATTAGAAACACCCACCTTGTGCTTTCACTAACTGGCCACTTTATTAGAAACACCCACTTTGTGCTTCCACTCACTGGCCACTTTATTAGAAACACCCACCTTGTGCTTTCACTAACTGGCCACTGTATTCTAAACACTCATCTTATGCTTCCCCTTATTGGCCACTTTATTAGAAACCCCACTTGTGCTCCACCACTGGCCTTTATCACCTACTATGCTTCCCACTGGCCACTTTATTAGAAGCACCCACCTTGTGCTTCCACACACTGGCCATTTTATTAGAAACAGCCCACCTTGTGCTTACACTCGCTGGTCATTTTATTAGAAGCACCCACCTTGTGCTTCCGCTTTATTAGAAACACCCACCTTGTGCTTCCACACACTGGCCATTTTATTAGAAACACCCACCTTGTGCTTACACTAACTGGCCACTTTATTAGAAACACCCACCTTGTGCTTTCACTAACTGGCCACTTTATTAGAAACACCTACCTTGTGCTTCTATTAACTGGCCACTTTATTAGAAACCCCTACCTTGTGCTTCCACTAACTGGCCACTTTATTAGAAACACCCACCTTGTGCTTCCACATTTTGCCCACTTTCAGTAAAGCCTGTTTAGCATGGTAACCGTTGCTATGAAAGAATGCCTATGTGGGTGGAGCACTGTTAGTCAGATGTTCATGCATCATCATCTGACTCCATTCAGTCACAACACAACATCACGTTTTATGGATTTTCTTTATTAATGCATTACGCTTTTGAACATGATCCACAGATTATACAGACACACACTTTAAACTTTGAACCAACTCTGCATTCTAGAGAAACATCTGGGGAGTTTGTTCACAGTGGTGGTGATAGGAACCAGACGTCCACCTCTAAAAGCTCCCTCACAGAAAGTTCCTACATGAAATGTTTATGAATTTACTACTTGATGTCTGAGACACTGTTTTTATGATCATTTTGAGAAGATTTTGACTTAAAATGTGTAGGTTCACTGGTGGTTCTGGATAGTAAATAAAATGTCTATATTTGTGTTGTAGTCATGGCGACCCCTGGTAGTGATTTTGGACAGTAAATGCGAATCATTAGTTTCTCTACAATTAAGCGTTTCAGATCAAATCCACCCTGGCGAATTCAAAATGCCCTGGTTAATTCTGACAGAATTATGAATAGTTGTAATTTTGTTAAATGTTAAATCTGAAAGTTGTCCCTGTGACACTGACAATCTAAGCTATGTTTCTGATATGGTGACAGGCACCAATCAGGCATAACATTATGACATTATAACATTATTATCCTTGTTTCTACACTCATTGTCCTGTGACCACTGATGAAGGACTAGAGGATGACCAACACAAACTGCAGCAGCAGATGAGCTATCGTCTCTGACTTTACATCTACAAGATGGACTGACAAGGTAGGAGTGTCTAATAGAGTGGACAGTGAGTGGACACAGTGTTTAAAAACTCCAGCAGCACTGCTGTGTCTGACCTACTCAGACCAGCGCAACACACTAACACACCACCACCACGTCAGTGTTACTGCAGTGCTGAGAATGATCCACCACCCAAATAGTACCTGCTCTGTGAGGGTCCATGGGGGTCCTGACCACTGAAGAACAGGGTAAAAGGGGGCTAACAAAGTATCAGAGAAACAGATGGACTACAGTCTGTAACTGTAGAACTACAAAGTGCACCTATATAGTAAGTGGAGCTGATAAAATGGACAATGAGTGTGGAAACAAGGAGGTGGTCAGAATGTTATGCCTGACCGGTGTATTTTTTTAAGAGTGACATAAAATCTACTGAGTCACACAAAATTGATTTAGAATTTCATTAAATCAAAAGTAAATTTAAAACTAAAACGCATGTGAGCTAAAGGCAGCTGCAGTGAACCGTGTTTGAGTGTTTCTCTGTTGATTTCATTATTAGTTGAGTGTTTCCACTTCGCTGTAGGCCGGGTTAATCTTTAGCTTTTTTCTCTTTCGGCTGAAAACAGAACGTGAAACTTCAGAACAGAAAATATTCCGTAGCTGAAATTACGGTGCCTCCCTAGAAATGATTTCAGTGACAAACAACGGAGAAAACCTGCCACTGCCAAGAGCAACAACTGATACACTGAATACGTTTCAGAAAACATCATTCCAGTTAATAATATTGGTCCTCATTGTCCAACATCTTCTTACGTTTGCTCTTAAAAGTGTTCTTGAGGAAACGCCTACATCAGATTCATGTCGTGTCCTTCAAATCCTAAACAAGAAAACATTGGTGAACATCAGAATCTTCGTCAAAACTGCGTTTGGGTGGGTTTTAAGAAGAATCTCTTCTTGAGAACGGTCGGTGAACGAGGCCCATTGATGGTTGACTGTATCCAAAAATAACTAAAACAAAAAATACATGCATCTCCATTTTTGTCAGTATTAATTTTTCTACATCATTTGAACGCGGCAGCTGTTCACACAGCGTGAAGATTTTGTGATGAATGGATGTGTAGAAATGCTCCAAAATCTCTTGGAATAAAACCTGTTTAAATTATCCTACACTGAAGTTTTTTGCCCTCTCCTGTAAAGTTACTGTTCGTACTACACTATAAAGTTATTTTAGAGATACACGTTTTTCAGTGGACAGCAAGTTATTAGATATATGACAATATTGTAACTGTAACTTCAAATTTATAGTTTACGTTCTTTAGTCTCCCAACTTTGAGCACCCCCCCACCCCCCCCGACCACCTGCCTACCATTTCAGCCCAATGGTTTGAACATAGACTACTGATTGCACAGAAGCCCCAACCACTCAAACCTTTACAATTTTACATTTTTCATCCCAATTTATGAGCAGTCTAGGGTACCAGAATGGTGTCTTCAGGCTCAGAGGTCGTAAAGGTTATTCTCAGCTCTTCGCAGATCACTTTTATTTCTCTATTACCTGAGTATAATAAAGATTTAATAGCTTGCTCCCTACAGGGTGTGGCATGAGGACAACTGTGGCCAGTGAAGTAAGCCCTATCAATGTCACTTGTCTTTAAAGGTCTGTCAACTGTAATTTTCTGGTGAAGTTTGGTGCCTTTGGAGTCCTGAAACGCTATGACCTGCAGCTGCGGCTGTTTATCGCTGTAGAATTTGACCAACACCTTGTCTCCTTGTGTCCAATAGCATCTTGTGTTGAATAGTGCCCTGTGTCCGATAGTGTCCCGTGTTCTATAACATCCTGTGTCCAATAGCATTTTGTGCTCAAAGACCATCTTTTGTCCAATAGCGTCCCGTGATTCATAGTGCTCTGTCTCCAATAGCATCCTGTGATTGATAGTGTCCTGTGTCCAATAGCGTCTTGTGTTGAATAGTGCCCTGTGTCCGATGTGTCCCGTGTTCTATAACATCCTGTGTCCAATAGCATTTTGTGCTCAATGGCATCTTTTGTCCAATAGCGCCCCGTGTTTAATAGTGCTCTGTCTCCAATAGCATCCTGTGATTGATAGTGTCCTGTGTCCAATAGCGCCCCGTGTTTAATAGTGTCCTGTGTCCAATAGTGTCCTGTGTCCAATAGCGTCCCATGATTAATAGCATCCTGTATTTAATAGCAACCTGGGTCCAACAATGTTCTGTGTCCAATAGCGTCCTGTGTTTAAGAGTGTCCAACAGTATCCTGTGTACAATAGAGTCCTGAGTTCTATAGTGTCCCATGTCCAATATTGTCCTGTGTTTAATATCTTTCTGTGTTCAATAGTGTCCCATATGCAAGAACATCTTTTGTCCAACATGTCCTGTATCCAGTATCATCCTATGTCTAATCCAATTCTGTATGTCTCATCAGCTTTTCCTCCATGATGGTGGATACATGGTCGTCCTTGAATAGTCGTTGTTCATTAGTACGAATTGTTCCTGAGGCTTGTTGGAGGCACAAGTTGAAATAATTTCGGCTATTTCTCCATCTCCCTGTATAATAAATTTACAGTTGTACTTCGGAGCATCAGGCATGGTGAGATACTTATTAATGAGATGGTCAAGCCCTGCGTTCAACACTTTACAGCCCGCCTTCTCTTTCTCCATCCAGCATTTCCTTTCAAGCAATCCTTCAACATTTATGGGAGCGAGTTTAAACTGGCACTTTGTTTTGATTGTCACCATCTTCTCTGGTGTGTTCCTAACAGTGTAGGTGATCGAAAACCTGTTGCATGCGATTTTTAGCGCTTCTAAGTTTTTTGCATTAGCTGCCTCTTTAGCTTGAACGAAGCAGGACTTGATCTCGTTTTGGCAGGAGTGCATGCTGAAGTGGATGCTCTTGACGTCCGACTCGCTGACGTCATCCTCGCAGTAGATGCAGCCGTCGAGGCGGCCCTGATTATTCTCTGACGTTACGGTGTAGATGATGTCCTCAGCTTCGCCGATTCGGACACACTGCCATTCTCCTTTGACCAGAAGACTCGTAGCTTTGCTGAGAGGATGGTGCCTGAAGATGCTCTCAGCAAAATCCAGGTTGGAGAGGAGAACGCTGTCCTTACAGCCCTTCCCTTTCAGCTCACACTTCACGGACAGAATGCCCTCCGTGTCAGGGTCAACTTCAAACGTTCTAGGAAAACAAAGTTGTGATAAATTAGTTGCACAAGTCATGAATTTTTATATCAGATTCTGACTTCTTTCACTCCATCAGTCCATTCAGTCTATTTTTTTGGATGATTTTATTGGCCAAAGTGGCTCTTCAGACTGCTAGACGAGAGCTCTAAAGGCACATCCATGCGCTGTACATATTAATTTGTTTTTATAATTATAGCAGAGGTGCTCCTGAATTCAACTTTATATGCCTTTGTGAAACCCTAATTAGCTTTTCATAATTTTACAACTTTTAATATTTAAAATTGTTTATTTATCAGTTATCTCCTCTGAAGTGTTGTCAGCAAAGTGTAAACAAAATGTTCAGTTTTTGATTTTGGCTTTTGATCTGATGTGTCCGGCATTCCAGTTTCGATTTTGGTCAAGTAACATAAAATAAACAATAACTACTAGATGTCTTTATTAAACTTGATTTCCATAATGACACATTACATAGAAATGCGCTGTCTGGTGAGTGAATAAATTATGGATTTTAAGGGATTTTATTTATAGAACAACGGCACCAACTTGTATGAAAATTAGGATTTAATATTTAATGAGGTGAAAATGAGATGCAGAGATGCACCATAAGCAACATACAGGAAAAGAACAGAAATGAATACTTACAGTGAGGACATCATGTAAACAGGTCTCCTAAAACAAATATCAGTCCTGATGAACCTGTTCAAAATACATTGGCTGTAGATGTAAGATCTGAAAGAAATGTGTTTGATTTTCATGTAATGCTACATAAAGCCATAAAACCATATCATAGTACTACAACTGAGGCACTCCCACCAACAGATTCATAAAGAATGTGTAAGAAAGTCCCTTGCTCTCAATGTCACAAACATCTCCTTTATGATAGTGCTTCTTTATAGAGCTATCCACTGAAAGGTTCTTTAGAGAACCAAAAGTGGTTCTTCTATGGATTTACTACAATGAAGACATTCTTTTTAAGAGTGTTGGTACTGATGGACTGAGTGTTGGATAAACTTACCAGTGCTGTAGATTTCCTTCACTCTAACAACGAGTTGCTTTCCTGACTGAAACACCTGTAAATATTCCCAAACCTTCCACATCAGCTTGATGAGTTCAGTTTCATTTCCTGAGTGAACGCTTACTTTCATTTTACCATGAAACACAGCCCCCTCAGCACCTCCCTGCTTTCTTAAAGGCACATGCGCAAAATGACACAGTACAGTGAATGCAGCAGAGAGGAAAATCACAGAAACCTTTACACTCGTACACTTTATTATAAATACCAACCCTGTACTTCCTGTCATTGGCCACTTTATTAGAAACGCCCACCTTGTGCTTTCACTAACCGGCCACTTTATTAGAAACACCCACCTTGTGCTTCCGCTTTATTAGAAACACCCACCTTGTGCTTACACTCGCTGGCCATTTTATTAGAAACACCCGCCTTGTGCTTACACTCGCTAGCCACTTTATTAGAAACACCCACCTTGTGCTTTCACTAACTGGCCACTTTATTAGAAACACCCACTTTGTGCTTCCACTCACTGGCCACTTTATTAGAAACACCAACCTTGTGCTTTCACTAACTGGCCACTTTATTAGAAACACCCAGTTTGTGCTTCCACTCACTGGCCACTTTATTAGAAACACCAACCTTGTGCTTTCACTAACTGGCCACTTTATTAGAAACACCTACCTTGTGCTTCTATTAACTGGTCACTTTATCAGAAACACCTACTTTGTGCTTCCACTCACTGGACACTTTATTCTAAACACTCATCTTATGCTTCCCCTTATTGGCCACTTTATTAGAAACGCCCACCTTGTGCTTCCACACACTGGCCATTTTATTAGAAACAGCCACCTTGTGCTTACACTCACTGGTCATTTTATTAGAAGCACCCACCTTGTGCTTCCACTTTATTAGAAACACCCACCTTGTGCTTCCACACACTGGCCATTTTATTAGAAACACCCACCTTGTGCTTACACTCGCTGGTCATTTTATTAGAAACACCCACCTTGTGCTTACACTAACTGGCCACTTTATTAGAAACCCCTACCTTGTGCTTCCACTAACTGGCCACTTTATTAGAAACACCCACCTTGTGCTTCCACATTTTGCCCACTTTCCTATGTGGGTGGAGCACTGTTAGTCAGATGTTCATGCATCATCATCTGACTCCATTCAGTCACAACACAACATCACGTTTTATGGATTTTCTTTATTAATGCATTACGCTTTTGAACATGATCCACAGATTATACAGACACACACTTTAAACTTTGAACCAACTCTGCATTCTAGAGAAACATCTGGGGAGTTTGTTCACAGTGGTGGTGATAGGAACCAGACGTCCACCTCTAAAAGCTCCCTCACAGAAAGTTACTACATGAAATGTTTATGAATTTACTACTTGATGTCTGAGACACTGTTTTATGATCATTTTGAGAAGATTTTGACTTAAAATGTGTAGGTTCACTGGTGGTTCTGGATAGTAAATAAAATGTCTATATTTGTGTTGTAGTCATGGCGACCCCTGGTAGTGATTTTGGATAGTAAATGCGAATCATTAGTTTCTCTACAATTAAGCGTTTCAGATCAAATCCACCCTGGCGAATTCAAAATGCCCTGGTTAATTCTGACAGAATTATGAATAGTTGTAATTTTGTTAAATGTTAAATCTGAAAGTTGCCCTGTGACACTGACAATCTAAGTTATGTTTCTGATATGGTGACAGGCACCAATCAGGCATAACATTATGACATTATAACATTATTATCCTTGTTTCTACACTCATTGTCCTGTGACCACTGATGAAGGACTAGAGGATGACCAACACAAACTGCAGCAGCAGATGAGCTATCGTCTCTGACTTTACAGCTACAAGATGGACTGACAAGGTAGGAGTGTCTAATAGAGTGGACAGTGAGTGGACACAGTGTTTAAAAACTCCAGCAGCACTGCTGTGTCTGACCTACTCAGACCAGCGCAACACACACTAACACACCACCACCACGTCAGTGTTACTGCAGTGCTGAGAATGATCCACCACCCAAATAGTACCTGCTCTGTGAGGGTCCATGGGGGTCCTGACCACTGAAGAACAGGGTAAAAGGGGGCTAACAAAGTATCAGAGAAACAGATGGACTACAGTCTGTAACTGTAGAACTACAAAGTGCACCTATATAGTAAGTGGAGCTGATAAAATGGACAATGAGTGTAGAAACAAGGAGGTGGTCAGAATGTAATGCCTGACCGGTGTATTTTTTTAAGAGTGACATAAAATCTACTGAGTCACACAAAATTGATTTAGAATTTCATTAAATCAAAAGTAAATTTAAAACTAAAACGCATGTGAGCTAAAGGCAGCTGCAGCGAACCGTGTTTGAGTGTTTCTCTGTTGATTTCATTATTAGTTGAGTGTTTCCACTTCGCTGTAGGCCGGGTTAATCTTTAGCTTTTTTCTCTTTCGGCTGAAAACAGAACGTGACACTTCAGAACAGAAAATATTCCGTAGCTGAAATTACGGCGCCTCCCTAGAAATGATTTCAGTGACAAACAACGGAGAAAACCTGCCACTGCCAAGAGCAACAACTGATACACTGAATAAGTTTCAGAAAACATCATTCCAGTTAATAATATTGGTCCTCATTGTCCAACATCTTCTTACGTTTGCTCTTAAAAGTGTTCTTGAGGAAACGCCTACATCAGATTCATGTCGTGTCCTTCAAATCCTAAACAAGAAAACATTGGTGAACATCAGAATCTTCGTCAAAACTGCGTTTGGGTGGGTTTTAAGAAGAATCTCTTCTTGAGAACGGTCGGTGAACGAGGCCCATTGATGGTTGACTGTATCCAAAAATAACTAAAACAAAAAATACATGCATCTCCATTTTTGTCAATATTAATTTTTCTACATCATTTGAACGCGGCAGCTGTTCACACTGCGTGAAGATTTTGTGATGGATGGATGTGTAGAAATGCTCCAAAATCTCTTGGAATAAAACCTGTTTAAATTATCCTACACTGAATTTTTTTGCCCTCTCCTGTAAAGTTACTGTTCGTACTACACTATAAAGTTATTTTAGAGATACACGTTTTTCAGTGGACAGCAAGTTATTAGATATATGACAATATTGTAACTGTAACTTCAAATTTATAGTTTACGTTCTTTAGTCTCCCAACTTTGAGCACCCCCCCACCCCCCCCGACCACCTGCCTACCATTTCAGCCCAATGGTTTGAACATAGACTACTGATTGCACAGAAGCCCCAACCACTCAAACCTTTACAATTTGACATTTTTCATCCCAATTTATGAGCAGTCTAGGGTACCAGAATGGTGTCTTCAGGCTCAGAGGTCGTAAAGGTTATTCTCAGCTCTTCGCAGATCACTTTTATTTCTCTATTACCTGAGTATAATAAAGATTTAATAGCTTGCTCCCTACAGGGTGTGGCATGAGGACAACTGTGGCCAGTGAAGTAAGCCCTATCAATGTCACTTGTCTTTAAAGGTCTGTCAACTGTAATTTTCTGGTGAAGTTTGGTGCCTTTGGAGTCCTGAAACGCTATGACCTGCAGCTGCGGCTGTTTATCGCTGTAGAATTTGACCAACACCTTGTCTCCTTGTGTCCAATAGCGTCCCGTGATTCATAGTGCTCTGTCTCCAATAGCATCCTGTGATTGATAGTGTCCTGTGTCCAATAGCGTCTTGTGTTGAATAGTGCCCTGTGTCCGATGTGTCCCGTGTTCTATAACATCCTGTGTCCAATAGCATTTTGTGCTCAATGGCATCTTTTGTCCAATAGCGCCCCGTGTTTAATAGTGCTCTGTCTCCAATAGCATCCTGTGATTGATAGTGTCCTGTGTCCAATAGCGCCCCGTGTTTAATAGTGTCCTGTGTCCAATAGCATCCTGTAATTGATAGTGTCCTGTGTCCAATAGCGCCCCGTGTTTAATAGTGTCCTGTGTCCAATAGCATCCTGTGATTGATAGTGTCCTGTGTCCAATAGCGCCCCGTGTTTAATAGTGTCCTGTGTCCAATAGTGTCCTGTGTCCAATAGCGTCCCATGATTAATAGCATCCTGTATTTAATAGCAACCTGGGTCCAACAATGTTCTGTGTCCAATAGCGTCCTGTGTTTAAGAGTGTCCAACAGTATCCTGTGTACAATAGAGTCCTGAGTTCTATAGTGTCCCATGTCCAATATTGTCCTGTGTTTAATATCTTTCTGTGTTCAATAGTGTCCCATATGCAAGAACATCTTTTGTCCAACATGTCCTGTATCCAGTATCATCCTATGTCTAATCCAATTCTGTATGTCTCATCAGCTTTTCCTCCATGATGGTGGATACATGGTCGTCCTTGAATAGTCGTTGTTCATTAGTACGAATTGTTCCTGAGGCTTGTTGGAGGCACAAGTTGAAATAATTTCGGCTATTTCTCCATCTCCCTGTATAATAAATTTACAGTTGTACTTCGGAGCATCAGGCATGGTGAGATACTTATTAATGAGATGGTCAAGCCCTGCGTTCAACACTTTACAGCCCGCCTTCTCTTTCTCCATCCAGCATTTCCTTTCAAGCAATCCTTCAACATTTATGGGAGCGAGTTTAAACTGGCACTTTGTTTTGATTGTCACCATCTTCTCTGGTGTGTTCCTAACGGTGTAGGTGATCGAAAACCTGTTGCATGCGATTTTTAGCGCTTCTAAGTTTTTTGCATTAGCTGCCTCTTTAGCTTGAACGAAGCAGGACTTGATCTCGTTTTGGCAGGAGTGCATGCTGAAGTGGATGCTCTTGACGTCCGACTCGCTGACGTCATCCTCGCAGTAGATGCAGCCGTCGAGGCGGCCCTGATTATTCTCTGACGTTACGGTGTAGATGATGTCCTCAGCTTCGCCGATTCGGACACACTGCCATTCTCCTTTGACCAGAAGACTCGTAGCTTTGCTGAGAGGATGGTGCCTGAAGATGCTCTCAGCAAAATCCAGGTTGGAGAGGAGAACGCTGTCCTTACAGCCTTCCCTTTCAGCTCACACTTCACGGACAGAATGCCCTCCGTGTCAGGGTCAACTTCAAACGTTCTAGGAAAACAAAGTTGTGATAAATTAGTTGCACAAGTCATGAATTTTTATATCAGATTCTGACTTCTTTCACTCCATCAGTCCATTCAGTCTATTTTTTGGATGATTTTATTGGCCAAAGTGGCTCTTCAGACTGCTAGACGAGAGCTCTAAAGGCACATCCATGCGCTGTACATATTAATTTGTTTTTATAATTATAGCAGAGGTGCTCCTGAATTCAACTTTATATGCCTTTGTGAAACCCTAATTAGCTTTTCATAATTTTACAACTTTTAATATTTAAAATTGTTTATTTATCAGTTATCTCCTC